CGGTCTGGGATTCTGTGATTCTGTGAAATAGTTGCTTTTCACAGACAAACCGTCTTCAGGCTGACATTTTGAAGTGTAATTTCGCTCCGAACGGAGCAGATATCGTACTTCCCGAATGCCGTAAAGCCAATGACAAACTTAGGAAACGCTCCATTTCGGAAAGTTACCATCTGAGACCTCCAGTGCATCAAGTCAAAGCATTTCAGTACGGCAATCTCTCTGATTTAGCAAGGAAAATAAGGTTTTCAAACAGGTTTTAATAGAATTTCTCTGCACTTGTTTTAAGTTGAAATTCAAATAGCGCCGCTGCAGGTTATTTTCCCTTCGGAGGTCAATGATAGAAGGGAGTCTGGGGTGCGGCCGTGGAAATGTGCAGGGGGAAGGGGCTAAATAATTCCCGCGAGGAATTTGGTTGTTGAAAACTGTCGTTCTTTGTAAAGCAGAATTAAATGTATGCAAATCTGCTCTAATTGAAATCAACTTTGGGTGCGCCGCTTCAGGAGGGCTTTGAGTTTCCAGCAGAGGAGAGGACTGATGGGTATTTTTCTCGGGATTTTCTGCCTTTTTGCTGAAATTTTGATTCCATTGTACAATATTCTTCTTTGCTTGCTTAGTTTAATCTGTTTTACCCCGTGGGGACTCAACGCTGCTTTAGACAGACTGGATTATGCTCTTATTTTTACATACGTGGAGGAGCCAACTCTGAGAGAAAGGGGACCAGGGCTGTGAAATGATCGTGAAACACCTCACATTACAGGGTGAAGAAGGACAAATTAACAATAATTAATTCTTACAAAGCTGTATTTTATTTTCTTGGGGTAGCAAACTCCCCTGACCCTTCCCAAGTCATAAGATTAGGCAAAACTCTCAGTTTTCCTATGATGAGAAAGCACTTCCCAGCTGTCAGGACTGAAAAGGAGAGCTGGAGTTTTGAGCCAGGAAAACCAATGAGTAGCTGAGGATTTCTGAATGTCTCACTGTTTTTTAAGCTAGTCCTAAATTTGGGGATTTGGGGCTCTTCTTGCTGTTCCGAGAGCCGGGATTGTGCTTTCCTCTGGTTCCTGTTGGGAAGTGATTTCCCTGAGTTTACCCTATAAAATCAGACTATGTCTCTTACCGCAGACACGCATAAATATCTGCCCAAAAATCCCAGTATGGTCCAACCCAGGGACTTAACTTGCTCGATTTGGGATAAATTCCTCCCCAGCAGAAATTAGATTTTCGTGCACATGTTTTTTTTTCCATTTTATTAATTATTATCTGTTCTTTGGTGCTTTCAGGCATACAAGAGGAAAACAGAAGCGGCCAAGAAGGAGTATCTGAAGGCACTGGCTGCGTACCGGGCCAGTCTCGTCTCCAAGGTACAGCCCACGTGTGCCATCGGTGGATGTGGTGATGTTGAATGAGTTGCAACTCATGGGACTCTCCACGGAGGAGCAAGTTTATAGGAAACCCAGAGTAATCGCCCTCCTCTGGGTGCTTGGGCTGTTTGGGCTGCTCAGGACCCCCGGGTTTAGGGGTTAAGACCCATAACTGCAGGTCGATGAGCACATATGTGCGTAACACACTGCTATCAACCCAGAGAGCCCATTTCGGTGCTAAATAGTGAAAATCCAGGGGATTTCAGGTCCATAGGGGAAATCCCAGTGCAGCAAGGCTGCAGCTGGGGCAGCAGTGATGGGCCAAGTGCCTGCCCATCCCAGTCTGGGATGATAAAGGATCTGGAGTATCATTACAGAGCCCATTGTAGGACAAAACCCTCATTGTCCGAGCCAGAAAATGTCCTGTTGCTGCTCTTTTTTCCCAGCAGCGATGAGGCCACCGTTGTCCTGTGCATTACGGACCCCACCAGGGCTGTAGGAACACATGAGATTAGGAAAGCAGAGGTTTTACAGTCCCATTTGTTCTCTATGGGAAGGAAGTTATTTTGTCACCCACCTACATGGACCTAAGGGGTGAACTCCATGCTGGGTAATGCCCCTCCAGTCATGGCACAGTTGAGTTATTGGGCTTTAATTTCCCAAATATGGGCACTGCACCCAGCCTGTGGTCACCCAGCTGGGGCTGGCTGGTGGTAGAGTGAGAGCTGTGGGTAGCTCGACTGGACAGATGGACTTTTTTGGACAGAAGTTTTCTCCCTCCATCCCTCATCACCCTCTGTTGTGTTTTCTCACAGAGCTCAGCCGACCAGGGGGAGACGAAAAGCACCCCGAGCAATCCACCTTCCAAAATGATTCCCCCCAAGCAGCCTATGTACCCAATGCCACCGCAGGCTTCCTCGCCCTACCCCGGCCTGGGCTCGTTCCTGTCCCCATCAGACCTGCAGAACTACCGCGGCCACCCGCACCCCAGCCTCTCCAGGACCCTCACCCCCAAACCCATGCTGCCCAGCATCAGTGCCTCCCCGCCTCCCTCCTTCCAGATCAGCCCTCCCCTGCACCAGCAGCTCTCCTTGCACCCGCAGAGCTCCCTCCTCAGCCAGCCCCTCAGCATGCAGCAGGTCCCCCAGCAGCCCCTCCTGTCCCCCCCCATGGCACTACAGGTACAGCCCCCCATGAACTCCTCGCCTCCCGGGCAGCAGGTAGGTGCTCAGGGGGATGGAGGGTTTGTAGCCATTGCTCCCGTTCCCATTGGGTCTGTTGGTTTCTGGATGGTTTGGGGACGTTGGGTGTCGATGTTGTCCCCAGGAAGGTCTTCTCCGGCTGGTCGCCCAGTCTTGCCTGGGTTTGCAGCATGAGCTACACCGTTGCCCCTCTTCCCATTGGTTTCTGGATGGTTTGGGGACGTTGGATGTCGATGTTGTCCCCAGGGGAGTCTTCTCTTGCTGGTCCCTCAATCTTGCCTGGGTTTGCAGCATGACCCACATCATTGCCCCTCCTCACATTGGTTTCTGGATGGTTTGGGGACGTTGGGTGTCAATGTTGTCTCCAGGAAAGTCTTCTGCTGGTGTTTGTCTGGGTTTGCAGCATGAACCGCACCATTGCCCCTCTTCCCATTGGTTTCTGGATGGCTTGGGGACATTGGGTGTCGATGTTGTCCCCAAGGGAGTCTTCTCCTGGCTCAATGCACATCTCATAGTTTGGGGGTGATGTTTTCAAGGGTGCTGAACTGTCTGGGGTCATGAGCACCCCCACAAATGGGGCAGATTTGTGCCATGGAGCAATGAAGGCTTTTTCAGTGGCAGAAGATGCAGGAACAGGGGAAGGCCCTGGTAAAGGTTCCTTGTGCTCATGGTCCACATGGGGGGACAGTCACCAGCAGCCATCCAAAACGATGAGCTGGATGGTCAGTGAGTGACCCCTCTTATGACACTGCTAAGGAAAGGGGGTGCTGAGCAGAGCAGCAAAGCAAATCCCATAGATGTGTGCTGTGAACACGTAAAACCTGCTGAGGAAAACCATCCTCCATGCCTGGCTCAGCCCAGCAGCCCCTGCTCGGGAGCCTGTGAGCTCACAGCCTCCTCTTTAAATCTGCTGTTAAGAAAATGCATCAGGAGAACAAACTGACTCTAGCAAAGCCCATTTCCTATACCTTATGCCAGGGTAGGAAGGAGGAGACGAGCAGTTTCTGAAGTTTCTCCATCTGGGATATGAACTGCACGGACTATTCACCATGGAGGACATATGCTCTGAATCCGCAGCTGCTACCATTTACTCAATGATACTTTTAGCTGTGGTATTCACCCAGCTGGCTGAATAACTTGTGTTTCACGTGTTTACTAGCCACATATCACAGAATTCATACAGTCCTTTAGCAATGAACAAAGCTTTTGGTCAGGTAACTACCATGACTCTTATTTATATACATTGCCCTATGTTACCTAATTAAGCCAACCCCAAAGAATCGAGAAAGCCAGTCGGTTTTCAGACAAAGCAGTCCCACAGCATCCTTGTTAAGTTGCCAGCTGATGGGAAAAGCATTGCTTGTATGGATGTCCCTTACCTTGATGCTGTACATGACAGTTTTGATGGGCAGCATGCCGATGGAAAGGCTTCATCTTCCACAGCCATTTACCACCCCTCAGGAAGGATGCAGTGCATGTAAACATCTTTATGCTTTATATCTGTGTACTCCCCTGTAACTCTTCCTTTCCTTTCCGCCCTGCAGGACTTCTCACACATTTCGTCTGAGTTTCCAAACAGTGTTGGACCCCGCTCTCCTGGCGCATCAAACCCTCCAGGCAGCACCGAGTGGGACGGCGACTACCCCAGCAGAGAGTGTGGGATTAACCACTGCAGGCCAGTAGACAAAACAGCACATTGCTAATGCACTTCTGTTATCTGAACCGTGACAGTGTACAACAACCCAGAGTCTGCCCTAAAATATGCAGCAAATTGGTAGGCTAGTGATGGTCAATGAAGTTCAAGGTTTCTGTTTCTCTATAGGCTCACTGAACTGATGCTATGGAAGCAGGTAGCTTAAAAATCACAGGTAATGTCTTCACTAAGCATGAAGAGGTTTCCTTTTTGAGTGCTCCCATCCATTAATAGTGGAGGATTTGGACATGTTTCCTTCTAGGGCAGGCCAGGGAAGAGTCTCTGGAGGTTTAAAGGTCCATAAGCAATGTCCTTCTGCTCCTAATGTCATTGCTGTTATCACTGAGGCCACAACCTACCATGGTTGTCTCTACAATGGATCCTTCACTGGTCCTGCGGTACAAAGCCGCATCCTCCCAAGAGCCGTGCGATGCTTTGGTTCGCTTGCACCTCGCAGGAAAAAGCCACAGGCACCTGCACACATCTTTCCCTTTGTGCCCTCCAAGTTCTGGCATGGCTGTGCCAGCACCAAGGTCCCTTCAATGCTGCTCGAATTCCCCAATAAATAAAAATATTGGGATAGGCTCAGAGCTGGGAAAGCCAACTCCAACCCTGCCTGATCCAGGGCTCCTGGCTCAGCCACAATGGTTTGGAGACTGTGATTTCGCTCTGCAAAACAGGCACGGGGACTGCTGCGGGAGCAGGTAGGGAAGAGGCTTGGTGGCTTCTGAGCATCGTTTGATTTGCTTTAAGTACAGGAACACAGTGCTGGAGATAATAGCAAGCTCCCAGCCTTTTCAGAGCACAGCTCCCGTCGGTGCCAGCAGCGCACTTACAGCCACTGGGCCAGGAACGGGCTGTACAGACATTTATTTCTTTCAGGGAAATAAATAACTCACTGAGCCATTAGGATATCACTGCCGTCTGCCTCCCTGAGGGTGCTCAGCCACGGGGATTATGTGGGGCTCTGTCACCTCTGTGTGGTCCTTCCTGAAGCCTCTGCAAACCCAAAAGAAGGAACCAGTCTGGGACTTGACGATACAAGTCATTTTTGATGCTGTGGGCAAAAAGGCTAAGGCCACTTTGGAGGGTTATGGCACACGGATCCCAATTTCCAGAGGTGCTGACCTCCCACAAAAATTAGCCCTCTGGAAATAAGCGTTGCTCTTTAGGGGATCAGCAGGGAAAACCCTTGATTTCCTCTGCAAATCCCATGCAGAAAGCTCAAGGCAGTCTAGAAAGGGGTGAAATGCTCCCATAGTGGGCAGGATTGAGTTTTGTGTTGCTGAAACAAGCTGTGCCACATCTGTCGGGAGCGCCGTATTGTAGGCAAAGAGCCCATGCAATTCATGATCAAAGCCCATGCATTTCATGCCTTTGTCACAGCAGAAATATCAAATTTCATGGGTTTATCACAGCTTCCTGGGGAAAAAAAAATCATTTTAAAACCAGACAGATTATGCAGAGACTTCCAGATAATTATTAGAGTAGATTATAGCGGTGAACTCAGATGGATATGGATCAGTACTGCAGAGAGGGCTTAGTGCACGGAAAAAAGCCATAGTCTCTGCTAAGGAAGGAGCCCATCTCCCATGACTGGAGACCCACAGCTGGCTTAATTCTCATTTTATTAATTTAATAAATTAATTTAGTTAACTCATTTAATTTTATTAAGTTTGGTGCATCGGTAGCACCATCACCTCCCTCTCCTGCTGGCCCTGCATTGCTGGTAGCATCCCCAGTAGGACTGAAGCCCCCAGGTTACGCTGGTGTCCAGAAAAGAGATGCTCTGGACCTCATCGTCCTCCTCTCTGTGCTGCTTGTTCCAACATCCCCTGCTGTAATTTGCAAGCAAAATTCTCATTTCCCCATCTCATGATGAAACTGCAGCAGGGCTTTTTCTCCCCAGCCTATCAGCCAGTTAAAATGTCATTAAATGACATTTCTTCCCTCATACCCTCGAATTCTAGGATCCTGTGAGCAGACACCCCTTGATTCACAAATCAGCCATGTTAGAGAGAGATTTTTAGATGTGTTTTAGCCCACCCTCTCCCCATTCACAATGATTTTGTGCTTCCACCCAGTTTTCCCAGCTCTTTCTGGACCGAAGCCCAAGCTGTCCTAGATTTCTAGCACAGACATGGGCAGCGTTTCTCAGCTCCTGCCTGGTATGTGCCTATCACTTCCCACCAGCGATTGCAGCACAGTTTTATTGCTTTTTGCCATCATATCACATATTTTTTATATGGTCCCCTGTCTCCCTCACCTGACAGCCTTGTTCCCACACCAAATCCCTGAGTTTTGCAGGGATTTTTCTCCAAGGGAACCCCAGGCTCACCTGGACCAAGGGCACAGCTTGGTTTACAATCACTTGCAAACCTTTCTTAATTCCTCAAGGAAATTTTTCCTGCCATCTTCTGCTCACAACTTTCCATACCAAAGCTGTCTTCAGAGTTTCATTTCTATTTATCTCCTAGCATTTTGGTGATAACACTGAAATGGATTCATATTTTGATGTCCTTCTGCTCATTTGTAAGGCACGGATTAGGTTCTTTTTTTGGGTACCATCATTCAGCAACTTTTCTCCCCTCTTCCCACTCTTTTTTGGGCTAAAAGAGGGGATGCTCTCAGTGATGCGCTGTCCAGATACACACCACCACATACAGCCACTTCATCTGGACCCTCACAACCTCCCGAATTCCTGCTAACGGTGGAGCCATCCTCTCAAATGGGGGAGCTTTCCACATCAGAAACCTAATGAGCAAACACTGTACAAAACCCATCACAAAGGCACTTAGTTTGGATTCAATTATTTATGGTAATACCTCGTAATGAACTGGGAAATGTTCTGTGGCGTATTCTGCAAAATTAATGAAGTTTTAGTACCAGAGTACCTCGCTGCTGCTCAGTGGCATTAAATCTTTGCTGAGAGCGGTAGGGAAGACTCTGCATTTTAAATGCAGATTATGAAACGTGCAGATTAACAAAATTCAGGCTCTTCTGTGGTCTATCAGAAAACAGCTCTACCAACAACAGCATTACGTTTCCCTCTTATTCCCCTCATGAGCACACCTCACACCAGCATCTCCCAAAGCTTTGTAATGTTCTTCACCACCTTTTAGGACCAAAATGGCTTTATGAAGCCAATGAGGTTGCCATCAGATTCATGTAGATGACAAAACCCATTAAAATGCCTGGATTTCAGAGCAAAACTCACATAGGATGGCAGCCAGGGGAGAGGGACTTCAGCCACTCCTCTCCCTGCTGGGTCCTGAAGTCGCTGCTTCAATAACGGAGTCATGAAGGTTGGGAGAGACCTCTCAGTTCATATCTCCCTGCTGGGTCCTGAAGTCGCTGCTTCAGTAATGGAGTCATGAAGGTTGGGAGAGACCTCTCAGATCATTGAGTCCAACCATCAGCCCAACACCACCATGGCCACTAAACCATGTCATAAAGGCTTATTTTCCCCTAACCTCCCAATTATTAATTATTCTACTTGTGCTTATTTTGGGAAAGGAGGAGGGAGGCATCGAGCAAGTGGTGTCTTCTGCTCCCATGCCATCAAACTTAATGTAAATTCTCCTGGATGCCTACAAGCATCTCAGTCATATTTTTGAGACCCTCTACTCCTTATGCAGCATCAGAACGGCACATTTTATCCAAAAGCAAGTGTACCTTTTCTAAATTTCCATAGCTTTGCCTAAGGGCAGCATGTGGTGAAGAAGGGGACCCGTGGCCAAGGGGCTGGTGCCATGCACAGCACAATCACAGAATCCCAGAATATGAGGAG